CTGATCCGATTATCACCAATTTCAATAGGGTTTATCCTAGGACTAAACAAATATTTTTTGCAAAATTTCATCTCAATCAGATAATAAATGCGACCTGCATTTTGTTCACAAGAATACATGGACAGACGGACTGACATGCATAAATCAACTCAAAATGTGATTCTATGGAGATCCTCAAAAATAACTATGGGTCTATCTCGCTTCCTTCTCCATGTTCCAAACAAATGCACAAAGACATAATACCCTGACCACCTTGTGGTGTAGGGTATAAAAACATTTATTGGTCTGAGAGTCCTGACTAGAAAATCTTTCAGGAATCAATCAAACGAAAATGGACAATATCAGTCCCCTGCATCAAGTGCCTTTCCCATAAGGGTACAAATTTTGAATAATTACAATTTTTCTAAAATGTGATGTAAGAGTTCGACTGTTTTCAAATTCACACATTCCAATATTTATATTAACCCAAGGCCTAGTGTTAAAATGGAATATATCGGTCCGCTCCTTCTGGTAGCTCCCCCACAAAGGGTAAAAATTTTGAATATTCATACAGTTCATAAAACGCGAAAATAACATTCAACTCCATTCAGACTTGGCACATCTCAATATTTCTATCAACACAAGATATGTTATGAAAATGGTAGAGATTGGACCACTGCTTCTGGCACCTCCCCCACAAAGCCCAAAGTTTTGAATATCCAAAACGACTATAAATTCCGAAAAAAGCATCCGGTTCTTTTCGTATTTCACACATCCCATTATTCCTACAAGTACAAAATCCGCTGTGGAGATGGAATATATCGGCCCACTCCTTCTGGTACCTCACCCTCAAAGGATCAGAATTTTGAATATCCCTGAAGCCCATAAAATAGGCTAATGTTAATATCCGATTCCATTCAGACTTGGCACATCTCAATATTTCCATCAACACAAGATACGTTATGAAGATGGTAGAAATCGGACCATTTCTTCTGGCACCTCCCCCACAAAGGTCAACATTTTGAATAACCAAAACGACTAAAAAATACGAAATAAGCATCCGGTTCTCATCAAATTTCACACATGCCATTATTTCTGCTAGCACAAGATCTGTTGTGAAGATAGGCTACATCGGATCTCTCCTTCGAGTACCTCCCCCCTAAAAAGGGTGAACGTTTTAAATAACCAAAACGATCATAAAATCCCGAAATAAGCATTCTGTTCTCTTCAAATTACACACATCTCAATATTTTTATTAACCCAAGGTCTGGTGTGAAGATGGAATGTATCGGTCTACTTCTTCTGATACCACTCCCACGAAGGGTCAACATTTTTAATATCCATGAAGCTCATAAAACACGAAATTAACATCCGATTCCATTCAGACTTGCCACATCTCAATATTTTCATCAATCAAAAGATTTCTTATAAAGATCGGACCACTGCTTCTGGCACCTCTCCCAACAAAAGGGTCAAAGATTTGAATAACCAAAACGACTATAAAATCCGAAATAAGCATCCGGTTCTCATCAAATTTCACACATGCCATTATTGCAACTAGCACAAGATCTGCTATGAAATTGGAATGTACCGATCCACTCCTTCTGTTACCTCCCCCACAAAGGATCAGAATTTTGAATATCCCTGAAGCCCATAAAATAGGCTAATATTAATATCCGATTCCATTTAGACTTGGCACATCTCAATATTTTCATTAACACAAGATCTGCTATGAAGATGGTAGAGATCGGACCATTTCTTCTGGTACTTCCCGATATTTGGTATTTTGATCGATACCTCCCGATATTCAGTATTTTGATGATTTTTGCGACATTATTCCCCGGAATTGTTACAAATTTGGTATTTTAAGTTCGTAATGGATACTAGAGCTTATGGCGGAAGATTGTCTGTGTAGGTCCACGTCTCCCTATAGCCCCCATATAATGGTACCTCCCCATATTCGGTATTTTGATAACTGTAGAGACATTATTCCCCGAAATTGTTTCAAATTTGGTATTTGAAGTCCGTAATAGATATTACAGCCTATGACAGAAAATTGTCTGTGCAGGTCCACGTCTTCGTATAGCCCCCATATAACGGCACCTCCCGATGTTCGGTATTTTGAGGATTTTAGCTACATTATTCACCAGAATTATTTCAAATTTGGTATTTGGAGTTCGTAATGGAAGCTACAGCATACGACAGAAAATTGTCTGTCCAGGTCCACATCTTCGTATAGCCCCCATATAACGATACCTCCCCATATTCAGTATTTTGATGAATTTGGCAACATTATTCACCAGAATTGTTTCAAATTTGGTATTTGAAGTTCGTAATGGATACTACAGCCTATGCCAGAAAACTGTCCGTGCAATTCCACGTCTTCTAATAGCCCCCATATAACGGTACCTCCCCATATTCGGTATTTTGATGAATTTAGCAACATTATTCACCAGAATTGTTTCAAATTTGGTATTTGAAGTTCGTAATGGATATTACAGCTTATGACAGAAAATGTTCTGTCCAGGTCCACATCTTCGATACCTCCCCATATTCGGTATTTTGATGAGTTTAGCAACATTATTCACCGGAATTGTTTCAAATTTGGTATTTAAAGTTCGTAATGGATACTAAAGCCTATGACAAAAGATTGTCTGTGTAGGTCCACGTTTCGGTATAGTACCCATATAACGGTACCTCCCCATATTCGGTATTTTGATGATTTTAGCGACATTATTTACAGATTTTTTTTTGCAAGTTTCGCATTTGAATATTGTAATGGCTTATGGCAAATGTTGCCTATGCAGGTCCACGTCGTCGTATAGACCCTAATATACAAGCTATATTCGATATTTTTAAGATTTTAATAGAATTTTTAATGGATTTTATTTTTTATTTTATTTTATTTTTTATCTTTTTTTTTTTTTTTTGAAAATTGCCAAATTCGTTCTATATAGTGAAGGGTATTCAAATTTTAGCCTGGCCTTAGCTGCCTTTTTACTTGTTCTCCTCTACTTTCATAATCTGTTGATTTTTTTGCCTATAATTATTTTTTGTGTTGCACAGTGTTTTTTTTTTTTTTTTTTTTTTTTTTTTTTTTTTTGTAAAAAAGAAAAATTAAAATCCACTTTTCTTGGTCTGAGGGTCTTGGTCAAAAAATTTTAAAAATCCACGTTTATAACTCGCAGAATCTGGGCTAAAAAAATATATATTTTTTTTAAAAATCCGAGTTGATAACTCAGAGTGTCTTGTTTGACAAATATTCAAAAAAACAAGTTAAAAAGTATCAGTCGGTATTACCGCCAGATATATACCCTCAGCGTATGTTCGATTATGTAAATATATTTTGACTAGTGTTAAGATTATTCAAACGTTTGACCCTCTATGGAGCAGATCCCGAAGGAATGGGCCATTATCGCCCATTTCCTATCGGACCCAAAAATATGATATAAATATTTCGACAGATATGCAAAGTCTAAATGGAATAGGATGTTAATTTGGCGTTTTATGAGCTTCATGGATACTCAAAATTTCAATATTTTGTGGGAGAGGTACCAGAAGGAGTGGACCGATGTATTCCCCCATTCACACCAGACCATGGGTTAATACAAATATTAGGATGTGTGAAATTTGAAGACAATCGGATCTTTTACATCACATTTAATGAGATTGTAATTATTCAAAATGTTGACCCTTTGTGGGATAGGTACTTGATAGAGTGGACCGATAGGTACTTGATAGAGTAGACGGATATTGTCCATTTTTTCACCTGACGTACCACTGATGCAAATATTAGGATTTGCAAAGTTGGAGCGACATAGGATTATCCTTTCTCTGTTTGTTCAGTAAATTATTATTATTTTTTTTTTAAATATTGACATATTGTGGGGGAGGTACCAGAAGGAATGGACCGATATTGCCCATCTCCGAACTCGATCTAAGTTTGACAATAATGTTACGATGTACCAAGTTTGGATCAAATCGGATACTCAGACAGATGGACGGATGGACGGATGGACATCGCTAGATCGACTCCAAATGTCCTGAAATGGATTTGGTCCAAAGAGACCTAGGGTCTGAAATAGCTATTTCGATGAGACACGTTTTGGTCGTATCAAATGGCTGAGGGTATAATAATCGAACATTGGCTTAGGGTATACATCTGTCGGATGTCTGTGACAGGAACTTTTTTTATTAAAAATAAGAATTAAAATCCACTTTTCTTGTCCTGAGGGTCTTGGCTAAAAAATGGTTCAAAAATCACCGCTTATAACTCGAAGAGTCTGGGCTAAAAATATTTAAAAAATCCACGTTTATAAGTCAGAGATTCATATTTGAATGAATATTCCAAAAATACAGGTTTACATTTAAGAATCCATGTTTATAACTCGGAGATCTTTGTCAAAAATGGTTAAAAACCGACGTATATAACCCGTAGGGTATTGTTAAAAAAATTGTGTAAAAATCCAAGTTCATAATTTGGTAGATCTGGATTAAATATCTAAAAAAAAAATATTTTTCTTGATCTGAGGGTCTGGCTTGAAAAATGTTCAAAAAAAAAAAAATACGTCTATAACTCGTAGATAGTTGGCTAAAAAATAATCAAAAAAATATAGGGATTTTTTTAAATCCATTTTTAACCCTTACAAACCACCTGGAGGTTTCTACTCTGTGCGCAAATATTTTGTTTAGCTATTTATTGAAAATTGTAAATAAATTAACACAAAAATAACCAAACTCAAATACACCTGCAGCTATAATAAAATACACACACGAATTTGTGGACTAAAACAAATACAAATAAACGGAGAACAAAAACGAAACGCAAAACAAAATCTCAACCTCTTCTCTAAACCACGGAATTAATTATAAAATATCAAAACAAAAAACCCAAAAACAAAAAAGTTCCGTTACAACAACAAAAAGTGTAAAAGTGAAAAAAACAACAACAACAACAAAATCCTCAACAACATATTCCATATCAAAATTCCATATATCCTTCTTGCCACTTCCCTCCCCCTATGGTATTGACGACCAGCACCAATTTGACGGGTAGCATTTCGCCCAACACCAATTGCAACAATACGCCCAGTTTTACCGCCCTGGCCCTGCCATCGCCCACACCCGCTGCGGCCAACAACTGCATCAATGGCGGTGCGAACATGAAAAATTCCACCAAACGCGATGTTATTGTCCGGCCAATTCGTTGCTTAATTAACGGCTGTGCCCGCGGTGCTGAACTAACAGTGGCTGCGCCATTCAAAATACCCACCCACTGGACGAGGATGTTACGAATGACCAGCAGTCCGAAAATAATGATTGATGATTTGTTACAGGTAATACAAAAACAAAATTAGAAAAGAAAATTGGAATTTGTTTTTTTTTTTTTTTTTTGTTGGCAGATTTGTAAATTAAAAGCTAAGGTTGTAATCGTTAGGCATGGAGGACAAAAAAAATGTTAAGGAAAATGGGAAGACACCTGTGAAGAGTAAAGGAAAATATCAAAATTGTTTTTCACCTCAAAGACTTCCATATAACTAGGAAACCAAAACAATAGAAGGGCGGGCTGACCTTGCAATACCATATACGGCTATACTTCGGGATGAAAATTGTAAGAAGTAATCCTGTTAGAAATGGGTCATCCTTTGAGACAACAACCCAACAGATTATGAAAGTAGAGCTTAAAAGAGAAGACTCTTGTATCGGCGTTTTGAAAATTACTTCGCAAAGTAATCAAAATAGAGAGGGGAACTTTCCCCCTCTTCCACAAAAATTTTGAACTCTTCGGATTAATATGTCCTATATTCCTTGGAAACCTTACATTTTAATATTGCAGATGGCAATACGAGGATTATTTTGTTTGAAAATTTTAACCCTCAAGCGAGTCAACAAAGGGGTCAATTAGATACTTTTTTCAATAAAAGCTTAAAAATCTCCCCTTAAACGGGGTCCTCCACAAAATTATTTGCCATAAAATTCTACTATAGGCCCTAGAAGACATCAAAAGCCTAAGACTTACCTAAATGGCAAAAGTTCATATATTTTTAAAACACGTTTTCGGGTTAAGGTCGTACTTCACACGAGTTTATGCAAAATTCTCCCCAAAAGCAGAATTTTCGAAAGATGGCGCCAAAGAAAAAATATTCCCCATCAAATTTCCCATAAGTTACCAAAGAAAATAAATCTCTGCTTTCGTCAGATATAACGAAAAAATTAGTTTCAATTCTAAAAAAGAAAAACTTACAAATATATCCCATTTTTATACCCTACTCCACCAGGTGGTCAGGGTATTATGTCTTTGTGCATTTGTTTGTAACAGACGACAAAAGGAACCAAGATAGACCCATAGTTCCTTTGGATGATCTGCATAGAATCACATTCTGAGAAGATTTATGCATGTCCGTCCGTCCGTCTGTCCGTCCGTCCGTCTGTCCATGTATTTTTGTAAACAAAGTACAGTTCGCATTTATTACCCGATCCAAATGAAATTTTCCACAAGTGATTTGTTTGGGCCAAGGACGAACCCTATTGAAATTGGAGATAATCGGTAAAAATTTAGATATAGCTCCCATATATATCTTCGTCCGATTTGCCTTTTATTGTGCACCAAACGAGTAATATCAGCCCGAATAGTATGGAATTTTGCACATACAACCAAATTAGGCCTGAAAAAGAGAATGCCAAATTTGATCGAAATCGGTTCACATATAGCTATAGCTCCCATATATATTGTTTATCCGATTTGTTATTTTAGTCCTCCGCAGCCATAATATGCACTCTGTAACAACAATATTTGAGGAAAGATATGAAATACAGCTCAGAAATACCTTTGCTAAATTTTATAGAGATCGGTTCGGAGTTGTATATATATCCCCCATATATAATTTCGTCCGATTTATTTTTTCTGGTGCACCAAACGTCTAATATTTGCCCAAATGAGATGAAATTTGGCACTTACGACCGAATTGAGTCTAGAAGCTAATATGTCAAATTTAGTGAAGATCGGTTCAGATATAGCTATAGCTCCCATGGTACAATGATATCAAGGTAGGGCTATGATACCATATGATTTCAATTTTTTTATTTTCTTGGCTTAATATGTCATCTTTATTTGTTTATGTATGTGTTTTCTTTTCAATAACAAAAAAATTGTTCAGAAAACATTCAAATTCGGATGTTTTCAAAATGTTTATTTCATCATCATCTAGAGTTTTTGTAGCGAAATAAACCTTTAGAGATATATAGAACCTGGTTTTGACCTTTCATTCAGTTATCGCGGTTTTCAATTATTTATTCAAAATAAATGCAACAAGTTGTTTGATTTTGTTATTGTTTTGATACTATTTCTGACATTACAAGCCAAACAGGTAGACCTCTATACTTGCAATTTTTTTAAAGTTGACCTACCTTCTCTTCATTGTACCATGATAGCTCCCATATATATTGTTCATCCGATTTGTTATATTTGTTACCCACAGCCGAAAATATGCACTCCGTAATAACGATATTCAGGGAAATATATGAAATACAGTTCAGAAATACCTTTGCCAAATTTTATCGAGATTACTTCCGATTTGGATATAGCTCCCATATATATATCGAATGGGCAATACAAGTCCGAATTTAAAAGATACTATACTTTTGAACTTTAAATTATTGAACTTTAAATTACAAATTATAATCATAGCGTTTATGATTGAATTCACCCATAAAAACTTTTAATTGTTATGTGGAGCTCTACTAAATTAGCAAAGTGGTGTAGGGTATCATAAAGTCGGCCCCGCCCGACTTTAAGACTTTCTTTACTGGTTTTTAGAAAAGAAATTGGATTTTTCAAGCAGAAAGTTCATGAAATAGTTAAAGATTGAACATTTTCATAGGGATTCCTTCCAAACATTCTACAAAATGTTAGGTCCCAGAAGACATCATAGCTTTAAATCTTATTTGAACGCCAAGAATTAATAAATACTAAAAATGCTTTTCAGGGTTAAATTTGTACCTTATGTGAGTTCAGGCAAAATTCGCCTACAAAACGTCAATTGAGAAGGATGCCATCAAAGACAAAAATCTTCGTCATCGAATTTCACTAGGGGCTACTAATGAAATATTAGAGCTGAAATATTAGAGCTACTAAATATTAAGAAAAAATCGATTTAATTTCAAAAACAAAAAACGCACAAATATTTTCCATTTTTTCATGGATCTTTTTCAATGACAAGAAATTGAATTTTTTAAACAGAATTTTCAAGAAATAGTTAAAAATTCTACTTAAGGTCCTAGAAGGCTTCAGAAGTCTAAATATTACATAAACGCCAGGAATTTATAAAAGAATAATGGAAAAACTAAGGTAATCGCACCAAAAAGTCTTCAAAATCTTTCGATTCCAAAGTTTACCGAAGAAGTTAAACTCTTGAACATCCGCAACAGGCCAAAAATATTTCCAAGTCGTTTCGCATTGATCACCACCACATTTAAATGCTAGGAATCAACAGAGACCTCAATATGAAATTTCACAATTCCAGTTCTATCCAAAGACCCAATCCCAAATTTATTGGCATACTCTTACTACGCAAATCCAAAACTACCTGCTTCTCTCCACCCTAGTGATCTCGATACCAAATTTTCTGAAATCCATCTCTATTCCAACAGCCAAAGTCAAATTTTATGGCATTTTGCACTTTTCGTGCGTACATATTAGGAATTTCCAAAACAACCTCCTTTTCTCAACGGCAGACACAAACAGTGACATTCATATCAAATTTTAGGAGTTCAGCTCTATCCCTTCACCAACTAAATACTGTTTACAAATTTGGTACGATTTAGTACTGTTCATACAATTATTGTACACATTTCCAATCACACCTTCAAATCTTAACCTCAGATGCCAACAGAGATCTCAATGTTAAATTGCGGGATTTCAGCTCTATACCTTCACCCAAAATCCGATTTAGTACCACTTAGTACTTTTCGTACAATTTGCAAAACTACCTTTAGGTTTTAACTCCAGATACCTCAATATCGAATTTCCGGGATTGAAACTTCAAACATTTACTCAATAGTAAATATTGTACTGTAAATAGTGTACTGTTCAGTACTTTTCGTACAATTATGGTACACATTTTCGAAAAATTCTCTATTTGTCCAGGCTACACTTGACAACCTATCCTAATACAAAATTTCAGATTTCTAACACTATCTGATCACCCCAGTAGCAAATTGTATCTAATTTAGTACTTCGTACAATTTTAGTACACATTTTCAAAACCATCTCCATATCTCAATTCCAGATATCAACAGAGACCTCTATATCAAAATGGAGCCCTATCCCTTCACAAATTAACCAATTTAGTACCATTATGTACTTTTTGTACAAATAAAGGACGCATTTCCAAATCTCAAACACAAATACAGTCAGTAATCTATGCCTAATACTAAATAGAGTGCCATTCAGTACTTTTCATACAATGATAGTACACATATGGAGGTGATATGTTCAGGCTGCACATGAACAACAACCCTAATTCCAAATTTCAGATTTCTAGCACCATCTGTTCACCCAATACCAAATATATAGTATAAATTAGTAGTATAAATACACATTTCCAAAACCACCGAAATATCCCAATTCCAAATATCAACAGAGACCTCAATATCACATTTCGCGATTCCAGCTCTATCCCTTCACCTAATAGCAAAATTAGTACCATTTAGTATTTTTCGAATAATTTTTGTACACATTTCAAAAACCACCTCCATACACCCAGACTAGATATGAAAAGTGGCCCCAATACCAAATTTCAGATGTCAAGCATTATATGTTGACTCAATATCAAATTGTAACAAATTTGGAACTATATAGTACTTTTCGGAAAATTGTATTAAGCACTTCGAAAACCACCTCCATATCTCAATCCAAGATACCAAAACAGGCTTCAATATCAAATTTCGTGCTTCCACTTATATCCCTTAACGCAACACCAAATACACTATCATTCAGTACTTTTCGTGCCCTTGTAGTACACATTTGCCGAACCACCTCTCATACCAAATTTTAAGATTTTACCACTATACATTCAAATAGTTCCGAATGGTGTCAAATTTTGTGGATTTCAATACATTTGGCACACGTTTTGAATGGATTTAGAAAAAAAAAACCTTTAGCTGAGTCTTTATTATACCCTCCACCTTGGAAAGGAGGATATATTGACTTTGTCATTCCGTTTGTAACATCCCTAAATATTCGTCGTAGACCCCATAATGTATATATATTCATAATCAGCATGAAATTCTAAGCCGATTTAACCATGTCACGATACAGGCCACATTATTTAACGTA